CCTGGGCTATATTTTTTTTTTTAAGATTTATTTATTTATGCATACAAGAGTTAGGGTGTAGGCCAGAGGTGTGTGGGGTGAGAGGATTCACCAGAGACAGAGCGGGGAACAGAACAGGCAGATTGACTGAAATACACTGCTGAGGGGAGCAGCGGGTGAGGCAGGAGAGGTCTGCTGAGCCATGGGTTCAGCTCCCTGGCTAGGGATGGATCTCATGCTGGATAGCTTGATAATGCTGAGCTTTATAATGCTGAGACCTCCCTGATGTGCCACCAAGGAGGCCCCTAGAATATACTTTAAAATACAAATTTACCTATCATGGATAGTTTGCTGAAGGAAACAGGAGGAATGACAAATCCATCTGGCATGCCACTGCCATTTAAGTGGGAAGAAATGAATAAACAAGCTCTTATGCTATTTTAGCAGAAGAATAACTTCAGCACCTACTTATTCTAATGCTGCTTTCTGATTCTGTTTCCAAAGAAGAAAGAAAACTCAACAGTAGTATAGAGCTGGTGATCTTGATAACTACTTTAGGATAAAGTGATGCCTCTTCATAATTTGGTTGCTTAGGATAAAGATGAATAATATGAAAAGTATTTCCTTTTATAATTTTTTGGAAAATTTTTATAACATGGTTGATTTTGATTTTTATTTATTTTTTATTGAGTTAACATTGGTTTACAACATTGTATATTATTAAATGACCAAAGCTTACCTCTGCTTTACCTTATGAAACTGTCTGTAGCAATGTACTTTTTTTCATCAAATATAAAATATTACTTGAGCCAAGCTTTTACAGACAGTGCATGGACAATTTAAGAAAAATATAAATATCCCTTTTTCCAGTTTGAAGATAGGTTCTTTTCTCTTTTCCCCAGATATAGATATATCGGGCAACTAACCGAATTTGCTTATAACCCTTTTTAACCAGCGTTGGAAATACAGCAGTGTGATCAAACCTTTCTTTGATGGACTCCTACCCATTCTTTTCATACTGGTCACTCATATTTGATAAGAGGATATGCTTTCAGGTTAAAGGAAATTTTCTGTAATTGAGGTATATGCATTTCCCCATCAATTTTTAATTTAAAATTACTGAATTTTTACATGGTGTAGCAATTAACTTATGATTGTTATTTGTAGAGGCTGTTGATATTGAATTTGCATTTGTGAATTTTTAAAAGTTAAGTTCCACTCATTGACAAATCTAGGGCCATTAATAGTAATATTAGGTGTCTGCTCTGGTTTCCTACTTATTATTGACTCTCTGGATTATGACAGTTCTTGGAAGATAGGACAACTCTGTGCTCTTATATTTTCTCCCTATTGGGCATCTGAACAACCCCTAGTCGAAGCAGACCAGCAAGAGGAAACTAATTTTCATGAGATACCTGTGTAAAGTCAACTATATCTGCTATCGATGCCTCCTAAGATGTTCATTCTATGTTATGACTCCGCATGACTCAGGAAAACTATAATGTGCATGGGAAACCCCAAATCTCTTTCTCATCATGTGACCTTGTGTAGACTCAGAGTTCTTGCTTCATCCTTCTGTTACCTCTTAGGTTTGTGAATTATCAAGGAAGGGACTTATTCCTAGCTCCCCTGGCTCCCTACCAGCTTGGACTTCCAGAGCATGACAAAATCCTTCACCGACTATCACGTAGTTTGCTCCTTACTAATAATTATGTGCTGAAAGTTACATCAGAGTAACTACTGAATTCCTAATTGACCCCGCAAAGGTGGAGTGCAAAATTAGATTCATTTTCAGATTACTTGAGACTTTTATTGCAGTGGGATAGCCACTTGAAAGGTGCTTTTTTTTTTTAAAGATATACCAAATTCCTTTGGAAAATAATAAGGAAAATATTAACATTCAGATGACAACATTCTGGAAAATATTGGTGAACACAGAGACTCAAGAAAACCTTGAGAAAGGACATGACTTTCATCTGGATAACACTTCTACTGGAAAGATTTTGGGGTGTTTCTGGTTCAGAAATTTTTCTAAGTTACTGGGATCTATTTAAATTCCTCAAAAATGAGATGTGAATGTGCCATGACTACCTGGTAGTATTGACCTTCAATATTTTGGTCTCTGATTCACAGAACAGCTCTCTTACTAAATTGACAATGCTCAGTTCCTAGGTGGCTGCTCATTTAGAAAAGAAATGCAGAGCATACATCTAAATAAACACTGCAGCAAAACTGGTACAGTACTCACTGTTACACTTGACAGTGATGTGAAAATGGCAGTTGATTTGTCTAGAAACCAATCTCTAATGTGCTGTTTCTCCCTAAAGATGTTATAATATTAATCCAACCCTTGACTACAGTTTCTGTGATCTATTTCTACATTGATTGCTTATTTGAATCATCACAAAAACTCTATAAGGAAGATAATATTACCATTTTCCAGAGTAAGATGAGGGTCAAAGAAAATCTAATGTTAATTAAATAAAATCTATAGCCTAGATGTAAATCTGGATCTTTTGCTACAAAAGCTTGTTTTTCTTCCCTGAAAATATAATGTAGTAGGGATGAATAAATAAATCGCTCAATGTCAATCTGTTTTTATACCATTTTGTCTGTGATAGTGTCTGCTTTTGCCAGATTGGTATAAATTAATCTTCAAAAGACATGCTGTATGCAGAAATAAGAATAGTGAATGAGATGCAGAAATGAACATTAATACTATGTCCTTTGGATATGCTCAGAGAAACTACTTTTAAAGTTTTATTCTGATAATAAAAAGTTATGTTCAACATTTAGAATTTTAAGTATGGAAGTATATAGAGAAGGACATAGTTATTACCTTAATCCTGCAATTTGGAGATGATAGCTATTTTTTGTTTTGCTGTAGAGGTTTTAAGACTATATACAAATATGTATTCAGGCTATCTAAATATGAATTTTGTTTTATGAAAAAATCTTATACACATGAGCTATGTATGTGAACATTGTATGTATGTGCATCATGGAATATATTATCTACTTCTTTTCATGTCTAAATTACACATCTATATCATTATTTTATAATGTTATTAGATTACTTTCTGTGTTAATTTGTTTTCCCTGTATATTATTTAGTTAATTCTTTATGGGTTTTATATTCAGTATTATAGACAGCCTCACAATGACTTTGTACATATATATATAGCAAAGGCTTGTTATCACTTTTTATGGATAGGGAATTTAATTCCAAAGTGAATTTGCTATCTAAAATGGGGCTTGTTTTTAAGACCCTTCAACTTGAAATAACACATTTTTCCTTGAATAGCTGTACAGATTTATAATCCCTCCAGGAGTAAAAGAAATTACAGTTTTCTTTACTTTTTGACACCACCAAATATGCATTGATTATATTTATTCTTTGTGAATATTCAGTTCAAGTTCTTTGCCCATTTTTCTACTGAAGTACCTGTTTATTTTTTCTCATTAACATATTCATGTGATATTTTAAGAATATTGGTCTTTTCCATCTGTCATGAATATTTCAAACAGTTTTCCCACTTTATTGTTTGTCTTTTATTTTGTTTATAGTGTTTTCTACCAAACAAATAGCTTAGATTTTATTTTTATTTTTTATAATCACTTTTAGAAAGGCACCTTTTCTGCCTAAGTATAAATATAACAACTTTTATTTTTCACTAGTATATTTTTTCATTTTTTAATATTACATTTTCCCTACTGTGAATTGTGTACTTATGTTTTTCTTCATTTGACCTGTTAGAGAACTTAGTCTTTTATAAATATAATTATTGCTGTATGTATTTCCATTTCTAAATTTTAAATACAAAATCAATTTGTTTTAAAGTTTCAAATGATACTTAACCAAAAGTCCCTCTTCACTGTCATCCTTTTTCTTAACGGTTGCTGTGTGTGTGTCAGTGTTTCATATAACTGATTATAAAAGTACATGGGTGTGTCTGTGGTCACTGCTGCCTGGGTGTCTTCAGTGGGTTTTTGTTAGCTTCTGCTGGCTTCAATAGCCCCACAGCACAAGAGCTACTAAGGACTATGTGTGATCAGTGGGTCCCTGGAACTTTATTCCTCTAAAACGCAACTGGATAAAAATAAATTTTAAAAAATATTAAAATAAAATTAAAAAAATAAAATAAAAAAATAAAAAATATCAACGGGGATTTGCATGAACATTAACAACTTTCTGAATTATATTTTTGCACACTGAACTTTAAAAATATATAAATCTGAACAGTGTCCCATTTTGCCATAATTTCAAAGTTTAATTTAGAAAAGGCATTGTAGTTTTCTTAGTTATATTTACTACCAGAGTATAACTTAGAATATTCTGTTTCATTGGATACATTTATATAGACAACCATTTACAAACAGAGGTGATGTTCTGTTATTAACTATTTTGTGTCTCTTATAGCGATATAAATCTTGATGATCACTATTTTTAGAAATACTGGGAGGTTTTACCAAAATATAACCCTCAACTGTGACACTGATATTAAAATCCCATTCTCCGTGTGATTAGTTACTCTAAAGTAGTTTTCATTAAACTAAGATTTCCTAATTACAAGCGTCCTGCTTAATTATATTTTACTGATGTTGATAATGAAAATGAAGCAAAGCATTAGAATGGATTTCAGTTTGATTGTATTGGGCGGTAATATAAACATGAATAAATTTTCAAACTAATAAATTTTCCCTTTATGTAGAAAAGCTATAAATAAAATGAATTCCTTCAAAAACATTTAAAAAATTATATTTTCCAAAATTGTTGTCTTAACAACCAAATATATATTTTTAGTTTTAACTGTCTTAGTTAATTTCATTTTAGTTGTGGTGTTTTAAATCAAAACATGATTCTAATTTTACCAAGAAAAGTAACTCAGCTGCTATAAAAATTAATAATGTTTTTCATAGGATCCTAGCACATATAACAATAAACCCAAAAGGCTTTTCGGTGCATTTATTCCCATATTCCTTAATCTGACTAGTAACCAAATTGCATATTTCTTTGACAGGCTTATGCAGGCAGAGATCTGGAGGAGCAGTTGCGTTCAGTGTCCAGTGTAGACGAACTGATGACCATACTCTACCCGGAATATTGGAAAATGTACAAGTGTCAGTTAAGAAAAGGAGGCTGGCAGCAGAGTAGAGAGCAACCCAACGTCAATACAAGGACAGAAGAGACTATAAAATTTGCTGCAGCACATTATAATGCAGAGATCTTGAAAAGTAAGTACAGGAAAGAAAATACACAATATCAAACCAGTGGAAGTTGCAGGCCTGGTGCTTAATTTCGGCATTTTTGTATCACTGAATACCTTCAGAGCTGCACATAATGAAAATAAAACATTAATAATTTATTCAAGTACCACATTTTATGATATCACTTTGAGTGACCGTGATGATTTCTTGAGATAATAGAGAATGTGTGTGTATATGAATACACTTTATTTTTTTTATGGTGATATTCTGCTGCAAAATTTTTAAAAATGTATAGAAATATTTTACCCGCTATGGCAGTTTAGGCATTTAACATTCTATATCTTACAAAATGATTGTACATAAATTTTATTTCTGATTGGAATACCTAAATCATCCTAAACCACCTTTTCTCGTACTGCTTGTTGACTGCTGGTTCACGGTCACGTGGCTTGGCTGCTGAGCTTTGTAAAGTTGCTGAAGCTCTAGCAGAAAACTTCACAAATAATTATGATGTTCTGGAAAATGGCATAGTACAAATTGGTGGACTACTTTTTCAAAGTAATTCCTTTCAGTTGTTATTCGTTGCTATAAATGGTTGACATTGCAAAGTATTTTGTGCACAAAAACCAATACACAAAATGGCTCCATAGTTGAATAACCAATAGTTTATGCCCCTTTACTCCAAAATTTTTATGTTAAGAGAAATAGAGGAGAAATAAAATGGAACATTTATGAAGTACATCATTTGTGTATTTAGGAGTCAGCAGTGTTAGAAGTAAGCAACTACCTCACTGGAAATAAAATTCCAAAAAGAGAATTAGAGAAGAATAGGAAAATTTTACTGTCCTAAAAAATCGTATTTCAGGCCAACGTCCCAGCTGATGGAAAATACTCCAACATTTCAAGTAGCTACCACCCTGCCATTACCCAAAGTTGTAAATAGCCTGCCTGGAAATAATCTTTGAATCCAGGACCATGGGCATCTTCTCACTTACATCTGGATTTAAAAAGAAGAATGCAATGAAACTGTTGATGTTTGCTTTGTTACAGTATATACTGTAACAAACTGGCATGACTCACCCTCTGCAAGTCTTGCAAACAATCTATATTTACATTTGCATTTCTTGAGTAAAGAAAACCAGCCTAGGTGCTGTAGGATATGGGTATAATTTCCAGAAAACATGATCCTCTTTAAGCTGGTTATCAGAAATAAGTCTGTTGTAGAAAACATCTCTGGCTGCTCGGTTAAGTGCATGGTTTTCCAGTTCACAGTGCCATTTATAATCCTGCCAACTATTTCGTTAAAGTTGTGTATTATACTTTGATCTTAACATCTGAAATCAAATGTGTGTGACTTCAACTGTCATGGCCTTTTCCCCTTCGTGGCTTCTCTATAACTTATGGACTTCCCTATGACTCGACAGGTATTGATAATGAGTGGAGAAAGACTCAATGCATGCCACGTGAGGTGTGTATAGATGTGGGGAAGGAGTTTGGAGCAGCCACAAACACCTTCTTTAAACCTCCATGTGTGTCCGTCTACAGATGTGGGGGCTGCTGCAACAGCGAGGGGCTACAGTGCATGAACACCAGCACAAGTTACCTCAGCAAGACGGTAGGTGTTTCGCTCTGCCTGGGCGCCCTCCCCATCAGAACCCTTCAACTTGAGCAGATTTTTTTGCCTAAATGCTGGTCCTTTAAAAATAGCATGAATTCATTTAAAACTGATTGTATTTCCTGTAGGGAATGAGGTTAATTTTGCAATGATTCATGGTTTTGATGAAATAATGTTGCAGAGAAAGTAACTGATGCTTTATGACCTCTGTTTCATAGAATGATAGCAAAGCCAAGTGGAGAACATAAAAAATCTACATACATATGTGTGTCTGTATATGTATGTGTGTATGTGTATGTGCTATAAATGTGTATATCCATATGTATATACATTTGTGTATATACTTATTACTTATCATATGCACACACTGTAATCTTTAAGAATAAACACATTCATTTGACAATGAAAAACCTTTAAATGATGGTCTTTTGACTATAGAGAGCATAAATTATGGATTCAAAATATACAAGTACACGTATGTGTTCTGTGAATCAGTCATATTGCATTGAAATAAACTAGCACACTAAATATAAAGTATATATTTCTAGAGGTTGGAACCTATAAACTCCTTTACATCCATAAACATAACTTGGAAAAAATTCATAAAACTCTACCCTCAAAAAAAAAAAAAAGCAAAGGAAATAATCCTCACATCAAATCCCAAGTACTCTGAATTGCCTGTAAAATCCATCCCATTAGATCTTAAGCTTCTAAATAATAGAACCGAAGAACGTGCTAGGGTTCAATTTGGACCCAGGATTTTCAGAGCAGATGCACAGAGCAGCCTGAACTTCCACAGAGAGGAAGTGGGCTCTCAGAGGCATGCTTATGTGTTGGCAACAATCTTGGGGTGTTGTTCCAGTCGCTGTGTGCCCAGCCTCTGCTCAGCAATGTTGGGAGAACTGCCGCCTGGGCTGATGCAAATTTCCCCCTGAAAGACAAAACCCTGGTGACTTGAAAGTTTTCTCCAAGCTATTTTTAATGAGTTGGAATGGCATCACCATCTGGCTCCCTGTTCGCAACTGTCCTTTGTCCTTTAGAATTAACATCATCAGATGTCAACAGTCTCTGGCATAAAAGTCTTTCATTGATTTCCCTGGGCTTTTAGAATAAGACCAAAATTTTCACCACAGCCCAAATGTCTACCTCTGCTTTCCTCTGTGGAATCATCTAACACAACTCTCTCTTGCTTCTGGTCCTTCAGTCCCTGGTGACCATTCTGCTCCCTCTATCCAGAACTTTGTACACGCCCTGAAGTCATCCTGGCCTCTATTCTCCTTGCTAAGGCTCAAATTCTTCAGATCTCAAGTCAAGTATTGCATGTCTCAAGGAAGTCCTTGATGGTTATTTTTCTGGCCTCCTTTATTAGACCCATTATTTTGTTTGAATACTTTACAGTGTGCCATGCTTTTCTTTCAAAGCCTTTACTATTGTTTAGAACCATAAACTACAGTTTGTATTCATCAGTATCAGGGATTCACAGCTGCCCTCCTAGGCCTTATCTGTTGAACCAGATTTTAATAATAATAAAAACCAGATTTTTTAAATAATAGTAATAATTTTAATAATAATAATAAAACCAGATTTTTAAAATAATAATCAAATCATTAACTCACCTGTGTAACTTTTTAATAAGTAAACACCATATGCCCAATGAAAGAGTATGCTATATATTTTAGCTCAACCTTTTTAAAAATAGCTGTTGAATAGATAAGAGCTAATTCTGCCTTTTTCTTATTGTAGTTAATATGAGGAAAAGTACACACTCTATTCACTTACTTCAGGTTTATACCAAATACATGTTTACATTACATATGTGTCAGCTAAATAGCAGGAGACCCTTCAGGTAAAATCTAAACTTGGGAAACAAAATGTACATAGTTAAAACAGAATAAATAAATTTAGCCTTCTTTACTGGTTTTCCTACGACCACTGAGTTTATTCTCTGTGTTGGTCTAATTAGGTCTCATATTCACTTAATTGGTATCAGCATGAAAGTCCTTATTCAAGGGTAATTATTCAATAACATACGAACTCTTCTTTCAAGTTCAAGGCTTTAGAAGGTTTGGGCTTTAGAAATTAAAGTCTGAAGGGCTAGGAAGAATATTTAGTGCTAAGTTTAAAGTACATATTGGTGAAATAGAATTTGATCCAGTGTCCTCATTACTTAAAATCCAAATACAGTGTTTCCTTTTCATAAGAAACTAAGTCTACCTTAGAGCATAGGGAGTCAGTTCTTTTACCTCCACACTTCACAGATTTTAGTATTACCTTTATAATAGAGTTTTAATGTTGATATTATTAATTTTATCAGCTGTCTCGTAATCATCTGATCCCATGAAAAATCAGAACTTCCTATAAAATTGTTGAAGTCTCTGTTTCCTGATTGTTCATGTTGCTTCAAGATTTGATGCCTTTTGATAGCTTGATAGTTGCAATATTTGCATATCTTAAAAATTCTGGTCTACAAAACTGTAGTGTCTTTACGTTTATGTGTCATTATTAATAACATCTGAGCAGTATTCATTTTAGCATCTCAATGTGTTAAAGATATACAGATTTTTGGAACTAAAAATTTGAAGTGGCTTGAAAACAAGGTACCTGGTTCTCAAGACGCTGTCTTCTGTGACTTCACACTCTCTCCTTAGTCTCCTCCTTTTCTCTTCATTCTGTGCTCTTCCTGATAAGCGCTTCCCAATCTTCATTTCCAGTGCAGACTCCTAGCGTGACCTCCAAACCACCTACTCAGACCTGAAACTTGACTTTTGCTCTGACAGGTCAAAGTCGATCTGCATCACACTGGAGTTACAACCTATTTCCCACCCACCCTGCCCTCTCAAGCTAATAAATCCTTTTCTTTTTCCCAGTATTCTCCGTTTCAATTAATGAAACTTGGTGAATCCAAGTTATTCTTCCTTTCACTTAAGCCCAATCAGTAATTCCTGTTAAGCCTTGAAAACACTTCTAGAATCTACCCCAGTGTCAATTCTGCTGCCCTAGACTCTGGTCTAGACCACACTCACCTCCCACCTGGACACTGTACCTGCACCAGTCTTCTGACTGGCTTCGTAGCCTATTCTCACTTCCTCCAACCCATTGGTGATGTGTTAGCAGTGACCTTTTTCTTTTCTAAATGATAAATCAGATACTGCAAACAACTTACAGTAACATTGCATTTGTTGAGACTGCACCAGCATTAGCGAGTGTATTTATACGCTGGTCTTTTTTAATTGCATAACTCATTTAGTGACTGACTGGCTGACACAAGTGTTCTGAGTTGTTAAATATTTTGAATGCTGCTCTTCTTCAGGTTAAGTCTTTTAACATCTATTACTGGACTTTCATCATCTGATTTCTACCTAAATCTTTATTAAATGCTACAAATGGCACTGCTCTTTCCCTCAAATTTTCCTGTCCACCGTGCCCAAACTCTTTTACTCCTTAAACTATGTCAATGTATCTTGCCCCTGAGGCACCTCTGAGTGCTGTACTGTATATTTGAAGCATCTTACACACAACACACACACACACTCACACTCACTCACACTCACTCACTCTTAGCTAATTCCTACTGTGGAGAGTCCTTAGGACTATACTTAAATGTTACTTGCCTGGGCCTCCCTGGTGGTGTAAGGGGTTAAGCACCGCTCTATGAAGCAATCCGCAGCCACTGCAGCACAAGTTCGATACCCTGCTGGCCAGGGCGCAACCCACATGCCGCAGCAGACCTCTCCTTTCTGGCTGCTGCTCCCCTCAGCAGTGCATTTTAGTCAGTTTACCTGTTCTGTTCCCTGCTCTGTCTCTGGTGAATCCTCTCACCCCTGCATCTCTGGCCTGTACCCCAGCTCTTGTATGCATAAATAAAAAATCTTCAAAAAAAATGTTACTTGCCTGGCATCCTCTCTCATGCTCTGATGACTTTCTTTACTCCCTGTATTTAGCATCTTTACCTTTCCTGCTTCTCAGATTGTTTTAACTCCGGAGCTCTGAGTGCCGTGAAACCAGAGGTTGTCTGTGACTATTGCCCAAGGGCACAGCACAGTAGTGGCCACATGTAAACACTTGGCACTAAATAGAAAAAAAAACACAATAAAAGGGAACAGAGGCAACAGTAAAGTTTTGAATCTGCTGGTTTTGAAGATCTGAGAGGTATTTAAGTGGGGAGAGCAGAAAAAGGTGGGGCAGACAATTCTAGAATTACAGAGTGCCAACTGGATCTTTACATGGAGATTTACTGGAAAACATCCCATTGACAAATGATGGCTCCAGCCCTGGTGTGGTCGTTAATACTTAGAGAATCATGTGTCAGAAGAGAAAATCAAAATCCATGCCAAGGAGAGTCTTTACTCCACATCTGAAGAATCTAATGCATTAAATGAGTATGCTTGGAGAACCCTTCAGGTGCTTCTCATGCTGCTGTCTCTTGAGTTCCCAGTGATGCACTGATGGAGCTTACAATTTAGCAGGGGGAATCCACATTTATCAAGTAATTAAAAGTAGTCTAAAGTGTTGTGAAGAAGAAATATCAGTGCAAAGGTTTGTGGATGGGGCTATTGAGGCTTACACAGCAAGCCAGAGTAACACTTGAAATTCCAGAAGACAATGTTTCCATTTCTGTTTAACATTTTACTCTTACTGCACTTTGAAAAAGCTAATTCTTAAATGACATCTTTTTCTGAGTTTATTCCATTTATTATATTATCAAGCTAAAATAAATGTGATGAGTTCTTTTTAAACATAGAAAAGAAGTTTCTTACTGCTCTATATTCTGCAAGTAAAAAAAAAAAGTTTTTGTTTCATTAAAGGAGTTCCAGACACATCTTTGAGCAACAAAAGTCACCTATTGGTGACTTTTCATATAAATTGTAAGGACAATGTACTTTAAGTAATGTAAATCCTGTTTTTTACAGAAACTTCATGGAAATGTTTTATGGAGCTCAGTCAAAGGCAGGTTATCAGAATGTGAGCAAACTAAAGTCAGCTGAAAAGTAAAACCATAT